CTGCTCACCCAACTATTGTAGGTATCCTGAACGTAATATACTATATTCTACTGAGGTTCAACTCTGGTTGCCATCCACAGTGATTTGACCATTTAACAGTTCCTACAGTAGCCAGTTCTCGAGTGTCATATTTTGAAACACTTTGATAAAATGGATCACGGTTGTGACTGAGATACAAATGTAATAAAGACCAAAGAACTGAGAGACATGGCAACATCTAAGGACAATTTCTTAATTTGTTTTCTAAATTAAGTGATGTTCTAAAGACAAAGCCAACTTTCCGAATTGTACACTTGAAACTAGCAACAAAGGGCCATGCTCAAGGCTCTTTGGGATACATGCCAAACGGGAATACATTCAACTTCGCTGCCATTTATTAGGAGGATTTTCTTCAGATATCCTTCATTCGATCTCAGGAAAACAGCACAGAAGGTTGCTTAAACTGTCCTATTTTTCTGTCATACTGGACAGATGGTTATGGTTTAAGAATTTTTTTGATGATTTGAGATAGAAAAAGAACAGTTACATTCAACCACTAAATCATTAATAAAAATAGGAAGAACAGCACAGGATGAGGCTTATAGCGATTATGCCATTTGGAAGGCAGGTCAGTGAGTGTATTACTTCCTCTTTACAAGAATACAAGTTATGAATTGTTGTGGGCTAGAAAACAGCAAGAGTTCCATTTGTTTTCTCAGCTTTCGTCAGTGAATATTTGCATCACTGGTTAGACCACAACCATTTCATTTTGAAAGTGAAAGTAGGACAAACTGCTTTACACATCTGAAAAGTTTAGGGAACCACAAGTGAACTGTTTCAAGTCAGTCATAAATCTCATTAAGTGTTACATTATTCTGTTGTAGACATTTTGTGAATTAACAGTAAACCTGAGTTAATAATTTGAGTTTGTCTTTATTATAATGGAGATCACTTATCTGTTAATATCATTCTCCTATATTCTTGTGTGTGAAGGCTCACATGAGAGTTAATATCTACAGGCAAAGCTCCTAGGATCAGGGATAACAGGGATTTTTCTTTTTTTGGTATTGTAATTTCATAATTATGCAAAAATGTGAAGTTGAGTTCTGGTGTGGCCTAGGGTTGTGCCCCGGTGTGTGTGCGCAGATAGATTGAAAAAGATATATATATATATACTGTAGATAAAGATTTAAAATGTTGCTTTTTCTTAGTACAGAAAGCAAGTAAAAGTTGAATGTTTTGCCACATGAAAATATCTTAATAATATATCACTGTATCGGTGTGTAACCAGGCATCCCACTAGTGTAGACCAACACAGTGTTTAGTAAGCTTACACTGCAAGTCATTATTCAGTCCTGTTTCATTGACCAAGACCTGCAGTAAAGTCAGTCATTAATTCATTACTGTTTACAGTATTCGAAAATACAAGCAGCTATAGTGTACTTTGAAGGACCACTGATATATGAATATATTTATGTTTTATGTATATTTCTTTAAAAAATTATATACTACAATAAATTGCTTTATATAGAGTGACCTGAGTTTATACATGTGTATATATGCCATACTGTTTAACGTTAACCGCCAAACAGGTAAGCACTGCACGTAATACCGGGGTCCATAAACCTGCATATAAACTGCATGTATGCAATATTGTATAAGCTTTGTACTTGTTGCTTGTCAAGTGGCCACACAGACAGACGAGTTATTTTATTTTTTGAGGGGCGGGTGCGGTGAAACAACACGCGCTTGGCCGTGTCAATCAGTGAGAGAGTCCTCCTATCCCGAGCGCTACCAACGCTGACTTTGTGTTGTTACATTGTAGCGGAAAGAATGTCGGAAAGGGCCGAGGATGACGTCAGGGGGGAGCAGCGCCGAGCGGCCAGGCAGCAGCGAAGCAGCAGCAGCAGATCCAGCGGGGAGAAGGCTCCACAGCAATGGCGACTGTTGCGGAGCGGAGATCCTTGCCTAGTCCAGAAATAATGCTGGGACAGCCTTGGAGCAACTGGGTCGACGCCGCCAAACTCCACGGCAACGACGGTGAGTTCCCCAGCGTCCCGAATGTGCGCGAGGAAGCGAGGTAGAGCGCGACAGTTGCCAGTCCTGTCCTTTTTTTTTGGCCGATTGCATGCAGTTTTTGGTTGGAATATGAAGAAACGCTACTGTAGCAACAGCACGGGCAGGCAAGCAAGTGCAACTATTTATTTGTCTGTGTCGGATCGCCTCATTTTCAGGTGCTGAATCGGAGGAAAGTTTCAAAGACTTCGGGAAAAATCGAGATGCCATGCGTTTGTGCAGAGAAGGTGAGTGTGTTTTTTGAAATCTAGGGCCAAAGGTGTATTTTGATTCTGGGGTTTACACACATACATACAACACTTTACGCGCGTCGTTCAGCAAAATGTAAATCTACTGTAAATCCTGCGCGTCATGACTTGACTGGACAACCGGATATGATAAGTGAAACATGTGTCTCTTATTCGTGTGGTAGTTGACATTTACATCTGTCCCTAAAATAACTTAACGGTGAACAACTTAGACTCGCTGCAGTTGGACATAGGCCCACACGTTGTAATGGCAATACTATTCTGTTTGGAGAATTAATGGGACTTTATTGTTCTGCATCCACATTGCTGCCATTTTACATATGAAACCATCCACCATATTTCATGGCTCCTCTTATCTTAAAGACAACAGTAAGGTTTTGTTGACTCAACAGTGTTAAGATGGTACACATTTTGAAAGTTAATTAGTAGAAAGTAGTGTGATTTCTCAAAACGTGAAATGGAAATGTTACTGTTGAACAGTGGCTGGGGCTTTTTGTAAAAGCCCCTTTTTAGTCTGAGTTTTATTAAAATATAGTTGACGATATTGCCACATGCTGCTTCAACACAAAGTATAACGGGCAGTAATGTTTTTTTACCACATATTTAGATATTGTAAGGAATTTGAACAAAATGCTTAATTTAAGACTTGAAGTACCAACCAGCATGTCATACAAATTCTGTTTTTGTTTTTTGTTTAAACTCTTAAAGCCATCAACATGGATTTTCTTTTTTGATAACAAAGTGATGTGCGATTATTTTCCTGCTACTAACTATGATGTAGGTTCCTCTCAAAAGCTGAAAATACCATAGGTTTTGCTAATAGTTGTTTTTTTGTTTTTAAGGCTGACAGTTATTCATTCTATAATAGGCAGTAGCACGGAACTGTTCAGTCATGACAGAATAAAGAAAAAGGACACTATCTGACATAGGAGAAAATCAACTATATCAGAATCATGCATCATGGCTTCTGAGCCACAGAGTGATGTTTCAGAGCAGTTTGTGCTGCAGTTTTATTTTTGGAAACACCTCGATTAGCGTTAGCTGTTTTGTCCTGCTGGCAGGCCTGGATTTAGAATGAGCCTCTCCACAAAGCTAAATTGTTATAACGATAAAACGTTGTTTAATTACAAATCAACAGTCGTGCACCAGGCTCACCAAGATCTAAGACTGACATCAGAACTAGCAATTTGACATGATGAGTAGAAGACTAACCTGTTCATTTTTACTCGGACTGCTCACCACATCGAATGACTGTAAAAGCGTACACTCACAAACATGGTATACTTTGTTTGCCTTTTATGCATTTTAGCAAAACAAACATAGCTAATTTTAATGACTTTGCAAAAATGTTATCTCTTACTCAAGGACACGAGGCATCGAATTTGACAGTTTACTGATTCAGGTGAGACCTGCTTTAGAAAACCTTTCCACACTGATTTGTCCCAACTTTGTGGATGCACATCTTTTCAATCATGCTGTCTAATAATATATTTGCAGAAAAGAGTAAAGATGACTTTTGACTTTGAACACATGATTTTGGCCCACACTTATGATGTCATCAGCGTGGGTCCAGCTTTAGTGTCTGACTTTTTTTCCCCTCTCCACATGCCACTGTAAAGGAAAGGGTTAATTGCAGGCTACTTCGCGGGGCACGTATCTAATGTTGCATTTGCATTGGACAACACTGTGGCCTGTTTGCAGACCCTAAAACCGCTGCACAGTGTCAACAGCAAATGTCCTAGAGGCTCCCAATGACAAGAAAAAGACCGCTTTCACGTTACATACAAAATATTTAAAATGCTGTGATATAGATGACCCTGCATACACTGAGCTGGTGGCTGACCTAAAGAGTTGTCCACTTTGTGCTGAAGAAATACTGGTGGCTGTTATTTTCTAAGGAAGCCGGAGAGCCAGACTGGTGATTTAAAATTCAATGTTGCGAGGTCACTTGACGTGCAACTGGCTTAAAACACGTCTCAGTCATGTAGCAGCGTCTGTCAGTGACTGTTGTTTGTGTCATGGAGCTGATCAGCGCATGCTGCTCGTGGCAGAAGTGTGTGTTCATAGAACATTATACTGTGTCTGTGTTTGTGTGTCGAGTAGGGGTATTACAAGTGGATGACTACACCTCTCCGCCGTGACTCACCACCAGATTCCTCCTGTGGTGTAACCGCCGTTCTGACACACACAGATTGTAAAAAAAAAAAAAAAAGAATGTATGGCAATTAATGACTGGTGAATTCACTCCTCAGCTGTCTCGCTTTTTATACATTTTTACAGTCACTGTCAGGGAAGCTGGGAAATGTAGTGTCAGCCACAGGTCATATTCAGCCAGCATGTGTGCTGCTCACAGGCAGCCAGAGCTGCTCCTATTCCACCCAGATCATTCATCACTGCCATGGATGAGGATGCTGAAATTAACTGGACTCTCCTTCTCTTCCCCTGTCTCGTGCTCACAGGCTCTGTTTCTCATCCTCGAGCGCAGGTCCTCTGCTCACTCTCTTTGTCTCGCCGAGGCCTCGGCCTGCTTCCCTGCTCTTTCTCTCTCGTGTTTTTTCGTTGCCGTGCTCCTTTCTTGGTTTTGCTCGGTTGTTCTGTCTCTTCTTTGTCCATGGTGGCGACTTCCTTTCTCTCTCTCTCTCTCCTTTTCATCTACTACTTGCCCAAGAAGGAAATGGGAGATTGAGAATGGGGCAGACACAGTGGCGATAGACCACTTTTCAAGTCAGGCGGTACAGTTCAGTGGGTGCCAGCGCGGTGAATGCAGAGTGGCAAGGCGATCTAGCCGGTCTGCTTTTATAGTTGAGCAAGCCGTTTGGAGAACGCTCCAAGAGAACAACAGCAGCGGTTTGGGAATGAGTCTGGTTTGACCTTGCTATTGATCCAGCAAGGAAATGTGGTTCGCCTGTTGGACTCCGCAGTTCTTGGCCTGTTTCAATACAGGATGTGAGAGAAGGTGGAGTTTTAATGGAGAATACATGGGAAGTTATTGATTTCGCAAATATCTGTGTGCTCTCTCATTATAACTTCAGTTTGCTAGTGCTACAGGAGACTGGCTCATAGAGGGAATGGGATTAAAGCAGACATGTAGAACCGAAAAGTTACTCAGAACTTTCAGGCTGGCTTTCGATTGCTGCTTAAATGGATTACGCTTCCGCAATTGGCAACCCGGGAGGACCATCCTTCACATCACATTTCTGCACTTGTCGTCTTTGCGGAGTAGGCAGACCCGTGTGTGTGCCCATCAGCTGTGTGTTTCCCTTCTCAAGTTCTATATAATTTACATGCTTTGTCCATTAAGTGAAGACATTTGCCTTTTCTCTGTGGCAGACCCCAGCCGCTGTGAAAATAAGTCTTTTCGCTCCACTGCCGTTGAAGGAGACACTTAAGCAGAGTGGCTTCAGACAATTGACACATTAAGTAGTATCAGGCTTGTCAATTCATCCACACAAGACTGCCACTGACCTCCCTGAGAGGAAAGCAGCCAGGTAGGCCCTTTTTACATAGTCTTTGCTTAATGGCCCTCATCCCTTCCAGACTTGGCCAGTGATGTTTGGAGAACCCTTGACGTCCCTGGCGGAGTACATATTGGAGAGGGGCTCCAATTCTCTCCTCTTGTTTCCTGTTTTCTGCTCATCACGTCACAACGCCCCAGGCACTCTTTTAATTAGCCTCCTTAATTAGGTGGTTTCTGGTTCTCTGCGCCAGTGTAAATTTTGATCACATTGTGGTGAGGAGATTTGCCTAAGAGTGGCTCGTGCAGCATGAGGCTTGGTTCATACTATGGGTGGCTCAAGATGCTGGAGCTGCAGACATGCCACTCGTGTGCCTTGGCATTCATGCTCCTCTTTGCTTTTTTTTTTAATGATTGTGCATCTGAAAGGTGCACTGCTTTAGTGGCATTAGAGGAAAATTCCCATCATTACATTTCCCAGAATGAAGAAAGAACCACTGAAATCGGCCATTTCTTCAAGTTTCTCTTTGTTGCATGGTAATCCTGAACATAGGCACTGCACTGCTATGAGCTATGAAATGTTTTTAGGGGTCCATGATCCTGTGTGTAATTGTTACTCCATAAAGTCGACTTGTGTCAGCGCCGATTCAGACCAAATCAGGTGGCCTGAAATATCACTGAAACAGGGAGCTATCCAGACGAAGCTCATGGACCAAACTCTTGATTCTCTCCCAGTTGAGTCCTTGATTTATTAGGTGTACCCATCTTTGATGACTGGGTCTGGATGGAAAAATAGTGATACCAAGATCTTCCTTTGGTATGTGTTCATTTGTTTTAGAGAGAGAAGAGAGTGTGTGTGTGGTGGCAGAGTGACCTAGAGAGTTAATGAGGAGAGGGAGCGCCGGTAGAGAAAGCTGGTGAATCAGAGGGGGAAAAAAAATTATTTTCTAATTGTTTAAGAGCGGCTAACTTCTAAAGCACAAATAAACACACTGCCTCACAACCCTGCAGCTAATCACAGCAACGTATGAATCCAGCCTTAAGCAGGAGCTGGCTTTACGGGGTGGAGGTTTCAGAAGTATTTTAATGTTTTGTGATTTTCAACATAAACTTTTAGAACGTGACAGAAAACCCACATCTCTCTGTTTTGATTATTTAGATTGTTAATGAATTGGTGGTTTTCATTTCACCTATCTGAACTATAAAATGTCAGAATTTCTTTTGAAGAAAAAATATCCAGCACAATTTCCTTAAGTCCAAGGGAAGGGATGCAGCAATTACTGGATTCCGCTGTTAACCGCGGTTTAAAACGTCACAGTTAATTAATCGTAAAGGCAGGGAACGGAACTGTTGCAACTTGCACGAAACAACAAAAACAAAGTTACACGAGCGGTGCACCAGCTTAAAGTGCCGTGCTCAGTGTTTCCTCTAGGATTTTTTTCAGCAGCAAGTGGAGGACAAAAAGAACCTCTAAGCCTTAACGGCAGGAAAATCCTGTTAATATGACCTCAGAATCATTATAGGTACGACTGTTCATGTTTGCCTTTTGTGTCTTCATTTTACAGCTTCTGACATTCATCTGTAGACCTTTAATATAAAAAGGACCTTCTGAGGTGCATTTTATTTGCACAGTAAAATCTAAAAAGAAACGTCTCCTCATTAGCTTAAAAGGACTAGTTTGCATCACTAATTAGCTTTACTAACCTCAGTTCCTCCAGTCACCTCCGTCCTTTCTTTTCCAAAACCACTTTTTCCACCCAGTATTTTCAATGGCTTGTGCCGCTCCACAGGGTTTGTTTCTGCGTCGAGCAACATGCACCGCATCGCTTGGCGAGCTCGCGTGAACGCCGCCGCTGTCAAAGTAGTTGAACTTTTGCGCTGAACCCAGCTTCCAGCACAGTGCAAATCGCTGCTTTTCTGAAAGGACCTTATAGAAGACAGAATGTAGTCCTCTCAAGACCTTCAGTCACTGAACATTTAACGTTACATCCTGTTGCCTCCTCCCGTCTGATGAGAAATTGTTGCCAGGTGTAAAACATTAAAATAACATCAGGAGCTTATAAACTTCCAGGACTACCAATTACTTGCATTTCAGTTATTAATAACATCATTTTCACAAAAATTTGTATGTATGGATGAGAGTTGATGACTAATAGTTCAGTTTATTCCCCTCCTTAATAACACTTTCCCTGGGGGAAAAATTAAGTTAATTTTATTATATTAATAGTACTTAAATATTATAGACATATAATTGTTAATGTATTTAAATATTAAAAATCAACTTAATTAATTACTAGTGTTGTTAAATTAATGCATAATAATCGTGAAACTGATTATTCCTCTGAATAATCACATCCAAGGTGATGACTTAATATCCCTCGAAAGCCCAGATATTCGGGTTCCTATCAAATGAAACTGAGAAAGCAGTTCCCAACTTAGAAGCTTTAATTAGTGAATGTATGACATTTTTGCTCCAGCAATTAATCGATTATCAAAAGTCTCAGATAATTTTTCTGTCAATTCACTAATCAATTAATCCATTTTAAATGGTAACTTCTGAATTGTTAACCCTGGGCCTGACAACATGGTCTCTCTCTGTAGGGATCCTTTCCACAATGTTATTGGACACTTATAACTATCTCAGCCTGTCGGTGGCAAAAACAAGCACTTAAGTGGACCTACTTTGACGTGGTGCAATTGCCCAGAAGGATTACATTGCAGTTTTATTTGCTTTGATTTTTAAAAATTGTTTTTAATCTATTTTTATAATTTAATTGTGGTGTTCACATATAAACTGAAATATTGTTTAGACTACCAAATTGTTAGATGTAAATTTTAAATAAGAAAAGATATTAATTATGAAAATTATTATTAAAATACAAGGACTTTTGGTGACTCTTCATAGAGTTGTGATGGAGAGAACGTTTGACAGGAGAAACCTTGGAGGTGCAGAATGTTGTGAATTAAGACTTTCAGCATTGGGAGCATGAAAGAGAAGGGAGAAGTGCAGCAACACAGGAAGCGTCAGAGTGTGGGGTGGAAACCATAATGATCTTAATTGATTTAACACAAATCATCTGCACTCTATAGTATATACATCTTTGACAGCAGGAAACCTTTGGATTGCTGGCTCAGCCCTTTTCCTGGTTCTTATCACTAGAACATGTTCACTATAATGAATAGAGACTTGTACGTGGGAATGATCTGGATTTACATGTGTAGACTTTGTGCGTCAGGTTGCCTCTAGTTGTTTTTTGTTTTGTATTTTAATTAATATGGTTACGTGTGAAGTGCGCCAAGTGATGTCTGACATGACCAGTTTTTCATCTTGGTTTTATGCTAAATAGATTATCAAATTGAAAATTACCCAATCTTGAGCTATTACAGTGTTATGACAACAAATAATGGCTGTTTCGATGTGGATTCAGGGTGTTCAACACTCCAGGACAACGCAGGTCTATTTTATTTGCCTCTCCTTGACCTGTGGCCCCATGTGGTTCTTCCCCTGTGTACAGACATGCCCATATTTGGCCAGTGTCCCGCACAGGACGACTTCTACCTAGTGATGTGCAGCCACTGCGGACAGGTAGTCAAGCCTCAAGCCTTCCAAGCACACTATGGTAAGTGTCAAGCACCACGTGCGCATGCACATTGAGTCGTCTTTCATGTGAACACCGTGCAGAGCTAGCTTAAGAGTTTCTGAATATTCTAGATAACTCCATACACGAAAGATGGGAGTGAATGTGGACAGTAGATCAATGAAGAAGGAACTAGCAAATTAGTTTTCATCTCTTGGAACCATATGCCACTTCCAGGCTGGTGGTGATATTTCACACACTAACGCACACTAGTATTATCTCTCACTCCCCTTTGTAACACTTTGCCTTCTCCATGCTGTAACCTGAGAAGGGACACCACGACTTAGATTGATTTATTTAACTCACTGTGTCACATGTGTGTGTGTGTGTGTGTGTGTGTGTATATGTGTATATATATATATATATATATATATATATATATATATAAATTTTTTTTTTTTTCTTTTACATACAGCTCCGATCAGATTTCTGCTTCTGTTCATACTTCAGGGATGTGTGTATGTGCTTTTCAGTGCACGGATTCCTGCTACTTGGTAATTAAGCTGGATCCTTGACTAGAGTGCTGAAATGGATCAATTTTAGATCTGTAAATATAGCGATTGCATCACTGTGGATCTTGACAGTGTTCACGGCAAGTTGACAAACGCCCACAGTCGCTGAAAGAAATAAGCCGTCTGTTCACTCCCAAACTCATTTCCTTGAAATGGTAAGGAAGGCGGCATGTTAGAGCGACGCCTATCGTGTCCTGTCATGTGGGGCTGTTTGTTTGCAGTAAGAATGTATATTTGTAAAGTTTTAATGGAGGACATGAATAGTTAAGGTCGGTTCATGTGGCCTTGTTATGACATGAATTTCATGGGTTCAGCCCTTGTTCGCATCAGTTGTTGTCTATGTGTATTGAGTTTCAGTCGCTGACTTATTTTCTCCATGAAGTGTGACATCAATTACAGTGGTCACGTTCATCCACAAGAGGGAGGTATAACAGCACATGGCTCTTGGAGTAACTGTCCTTGCAACTGTGTCAACAACACTCAAAGAGAGGACTCCTCCCGCCCTGCTAAACAATAGACTGTCTAGACCCGACTGTTGCTCATCAACGGCATAATCGGTTTGAGTTGTCATACCTGCCTGGGAATTTTGAATGAGGAGTAAACAAACACGGGAGGGCATTTGGAGTAAAATCTCACTGACAGCATCCCAGCAGGAGGTATATCTTTAACAGGGTAGTGTTGTGAACGCAGGAAGCACTCAAAATGAACAGTTGTTTGACTAGTTTCAAGCTGTGTGTAGCGATTTCTTTTGTCAAGCTTTTCCACCATCTCCTGTATGCTTCTGACTTATTGTATAGATTAAATTAAACAAATTAACAAAGAAAAAAAACAAAAACAAAGCAGCTAATGGTGCCTCCCTTGACCCCCATTCAAGTAGGAGTTTTTAGCACCGGAAGATGACGGCAACTAATGGTTATTTTCATTATTGATTTAATAAGATAATCATTTTTCTTTAATTAATTGATTAACCCTTTAGTCTTGCTTTGTCTGACTAAAAGTCCAAAACCCAAAGATTTCCCATTTACAATGGTATATAATAGACAAAAGACATTTGAGAAGCTGAACTCAGATGATTAATATATTATTAAAATTCTTGCAGATTAATTTTCTGTTGCTTGACTAATTGTTTTAGCTCCACACCGGAACAATCTAAATCTAAGTGAAATTCTGTGGCGGTGCTACTATACGTGAGAGGGTGGGAGTGCTCTTGCTGTGATTTTCCTTCCCGTCTTCCTCCTTCTGATGTCCTTATAGGAAGACCCCATGTGGCATTAACACTGGGCAAAGGCACTGATCTCGGCACCGACGAGATGGTCTCAATATGATTTCTGCATGCTTCTTTGAGCCCATCTGTCTCCCGTTAGGTGTCTGTGCTTCTCGGCTGAGGCTGATCCCAGCAGGAGGCGACGCTCACCGCAGAACTGGAGGCTGCCGTTTTATGCATTCATTTGTGAACTTGTCCAACAAAGCCTTTAACGCAATGCCTTGGCTGAGTAAGCGCACAAGTGGAGAATGCACCTTGAGCTTAGATAGCAGTGTATTTATTATTTTTACTAAAACAGAAGGGTGATTATTGTTATACAAATAGTGTACCGAGGCCAGGCCATGCTTAGGGCTTGAACATGGTGCTTGTGGAAATGGTCGTGAGGCCGTCACACTTGGTGTATTTCTCCCACCCCTACAGCCAAGGATTTCCCTTAGGACTGTGCCAACAGTTTGATAGTGTGAAATAGGATATTAAGGCTCCTCCTATTCCTTGTGTCTTTTTTTTATTCCTCTTCCTTTGCCGCTGGTGTTGGCTCTTTTCTCAGTGTTAGTAATGTTAGCTGGGGTTTCCTGGTGTGAGTTTGTGTGCAGGGTGTGCTGTTGACTGGGACAAGACAGCTGGGGTAGGAGGGGAGGGAGTGAAAGAAAGGCTGCTAAGTGGAGGGAGGGAAGACACCTGGAGTTTGTTTTGAATGGGCGTGTAGAGAGAGGCACTCTTAAAAGCTTCTTTTTTTTCCTCCCCGAAAAAGTTGGACTAAGCCCATACAGTTTAATTGGTGGGTGGGTGTGTGTGTGTCAGGGGCTGATGGAGATCGGGAGTGGCACCTCTGGGCGTGCATGTGTGTTAGTAACCCCTCGACTGTTTCTGCAGCAACAATTGTATTTGCAGATCACCTGCTGAGACTGAGCTTTGGCCCACGGCCCAGTTCCCAGCTACACCATAGGGTTATCCCAGTAAAAGGTTAGCTAACCAGGCCCACACCTCACCATGGATGCCGACAAAGAGCACAAACAGGTTTTCGTTTTTTAATCAAAACCTGTTCATCCTCCTAAAGCTGTATCCTCTTACATTCACTTCATGTTTGTTAGTAGGTTTTTCCTCCTCATTATTTGCTGTTTTGCCCATGTGCCAAAGTGTTGACAACAAGAGGGTCACGTTAACCTTCAGTCGCCTTTTGCTCATCAGCAGACACCTCTGTATTTGTCTCTCTTTCGCTCTTAGAGTCTGTGCGAGTCGGAGAGCTCTTTCAAAATAAATGGGTGATATGCAATATTCTCCGAAACTCCAGGATCTGGGAGGTGCACGCGCCGCAACAACTTTGTGGAGCCTACGTGCTTGACGCAAGAGGCGCGCACCCTGGCGCCGGGAACACTGTTGAGCATAAACAAAGCTTTACACCGAAGTGCAGACAGTCCTCGAAGTGCCCTCAGGAGCACAGTGACATACTCAAGCTAGATACTGTGTTTCGGCCTTGTGTTGTTCTTTGGTAATTCAGGACTCTATGAATTGAGTCTATGTTAAGGAACAGTAGTGGAAATCTGTCAATCTTTTATCCTACGTACAGGGTCACGGGGGACTCCCAGCTGACATTGGGTGAAAGGCGGGGTACACCCTAGACAGGTCGCCATTCCATCGCAGGGCCACACATAGACAAACAACCACTACACTCACATTCACACCTAAAGGATAATTTTAGAGGCACCTATTAATATAGCCTGCATGTCTTTGCAAGGCCGGGGCAACCAGGGTTTGAACCCACAATCTTCTTCAGTAGTGGAAATTTCAATGGAATTATTTTGAGTGTGCCATTTTATTGTTGTCTGCTGTTGCTAAAAATAGCAAGTGATGAGAGCTTCGTTTGAAAGCCCAAACCGTGCTGTGCTTGTGGGTCCACATGCAGGAGACCAATGTTCGAAGATGTTTGGAAACTGTGGTGTGCTTGAAATTTTTGTCAAAGGAAAAGACATTTAGTTTTGGATGCAAGCACTTAGTGATTTTTCTTTTTTTCTCCTATTTTTTGTGTTTCCATCCATAACGGAGTATCATCCTAACCTTTTCTGCTGTCGTACTGCCTTTTATCAGTATGCACACTAGCACAGGCAGGAAATGAAGCTCTTGACCTGTTGGCTGGTTCTATTTCAGGCAGAGTTGGCATGAATCACAAATGCTGCTTTTTTGTTGTTGAGGTAACCTGCTCACTTCTGTCAGAGGAAGATTTCTATGTTCCCATGTGTCTTGTCTCTTTTCAGTTATTGCCACATTTACACGTATAGACTACTCTGTTATAAGGATCAAAGCTTTGTGATGCTTAATTCTGATCATCAGTTTAGTGTTATGTTTTAACGCCCGCCTGGTTTATACTGTCACTCTCTGTCACAGAGAGAAGACACAGTTCGGCCATCAAGCCAGCCTCCACCTCGCCCTTCCCCGTGCCGGGCAGGAACCGGAGCAGCGGCAGCGGGCCTGGCCTGGGCTCGGGGTCTGTAGCTGGAGTGGCGAGTGGAGGCATCCTTGGCCGACCTTCCACCGCTGGAGCCAGCTTATCCTCCTCCTCAACGTCCTCCTCCAATCCCAAACTCCTCAAACCAGCCAAAGAGAAGCTGCCAGGCATTCAGCGAAGACCCCCCTTTGCACCCTTCAGGATGCTCCAGCCGGAAAAGATGTGAGTTCCACTGTGTGACATTTGCAGCATTGTGTGTTTGTAGGTTTGTGCAATATGGCAAGACTACGGCTGAAGGATTTATCATTTCATATCAAAATTGCAATTTAAGAGTGAAATGTAACAAGAGAAAGTCTGACAATTGCTACCTGAAAAATTACTGAGCTAGTTAATTAACATTAATTTGTTGAGTGGGCCACGAAACAAAAATGAAATCTCGGCTGTTGCCTGGTTAATATGCTCGCTCCTGTCTGTACATTTACACTTGGCCAGAGATGATTTTGTGGAAGAAGAAACACCAGTTTTTATTTAACAAAAAAGAAAAAAAAAAGGAGCCGGCTGTGTCCTTTGTAATAAAACCTAGGCAAGTCTTCAGTACATAAATACACCCATCTTAATATTAGGTATCAAAATGATGCATTTATAAGCTTAAATTATTTATATGACCAGACTGTTTAACTGGAGGTAGACGTGTCATGTGTATGAAACCAGCGAAGACGTATCACTTTCCAGAATTGCAGTACACTTGAGTTTAGGGCTGCAGCTAACAATGATTTTAGTACTCAAAGCTTCTACAGATTATTTCATCGATGCATTGTTTAAGAAGTACTTTTGCTTGGCGAAGAATACAAAGAATTTTGCGTCAATGCTTTTTAGTAATCAAATGAATCGATGAATCGTTTCAGCACTACTTGAGTTTATACCGTGTGGTTACAGAGTGGACTTTCATCCCACACAAAAGATTTTTGGCTGAGTGCACCGACACCGGTGCAGATGGCAAACAAACCCAACAACAGACAGGTTTAATGTTGTCATCAAGTTACTCATGTAATTAACATTAATTAGCGACCGCAGATGTGCTTGGTCGTTGGCAGTGGTTGTCATTTTAAAGGGGTTATATTTAGTGTCAGAATGTTTGGAGGATATGTGGCTTGTGAAAAACGGGCCTAATATTTACTACTTTGACTTATGGGTGAAAGAATCTGTCGTAATCTGGCGCTCGTGTTCACATCTCCCAATGGAGCGAATCTACTCAGGACCCACCACCAGTCTCCTAAAGGGGCGAGGCAGAGACGAAACCCATGTGACGCAGATACAGGACATGACTCCTTTTTAAACCGATCTCATTTCACCAACTAGGGAACAACTTAACGTGAAGTCAACATTCAACAGACTCAAACCACCACACTGTCTTCTGCTGAGCTGCTGAATGATGCTCTGATGCTTACCTTTCAACATGGTACCTTACTGTACTGACAAACTGGTTAGCTGCCTCGCTAACACAGCAGACAGATGTGATAAGCATTAGTGACATGACGGTTGTCAGGGACAGGGTTACATTAGTTATATTAAAAAGGGAAAATGATGGGTTAATTGTTTAATTATCCAGCAATGTATTCACAAACTTGTTAGCAACTTGGTCTGCACCACCGTCTGCTTAAATTTGTTGTACTCTGCTACAGTAGTGTAGCGAGACATTTCCATCATGCCCTGTGTAGAGCTGAACTGAGTAGTTTGTGAGGTTTGCTGTTTGTAATGTGTCTGTCCAGGTCATGGTTGCTTATGTTAATAATTGTCATTTTTGTGTTGGGTTATAGTTTTAACCATCTGTCAAGTGGCTGTTGTATTTCTTGACACTAGCTGTATTTTACTGCTGTAGCTCATGTTTTTGTCCCTTACGTTAAATGACTCAGGATAGTCATTGATGAGAACTTCTTTCTTGTTCTGCACTGCTTGTCACAGTATTGTAAGCAGCGCCCTCTGCAGGATAAACGCTGAAATGACACAAATTTATTATAAACAAATAACAAAAAAAAAAAATTGCTCCAAAATGATGTAACTGCAAATATCATCCAATAATTTTGGAAGACTCAAATATCGGACGTGCTCCACTCAGGATGTCTCTAGATCTAGGTGACTGAATCCATTTCAGTAGGTAGCTCAGCAGTGTTTTAAATGACAGACTTCTGGTACAGAGAGGGGTCTGATTTTCCCTGTTACCGTTTTATGCTTGTCACTTTAAAAGTTCCAGGATTCAGAGCTGTGAAGTTACAGGATACAATTTTTCAAGTATGTCTTAAAGAGGGTCTTCCGTTTTGTATCTATCTGCGACAGGGTTTGCAAAAACACAACAAGGGATTTTTGTACTGAAAACTAACTTTGGAAACAAATCCACCTGATTGGTTTAACCTGGTTGGCTGAAGCCTCATTGGCTTCAGATAGCTTAGATTGGAATGTATTTCTAGAACATCACAATATATGATGATATATATTAGATGAATCTTCCGTGACAAAAGATTTGATCGATATTACGCAACTCTATGTACTGTATATACTAAACTATGATGAGCCACCTTGATCTATACCCAGATATGTTATATTGCATTGGGTAATCATTAATTAATGGTGTAGTAGTCAGAATACTATAAACACTACAGTGTTATAATTCTGATATACAGTTCAAACATATCTGTGCAAATGCACGTCCCCTCATACAGTTTCATTTTGATTTAGATTCTCTTTTTAATAATCGTATTACCTCAACTCTGGCTAGTCTTTAACAACTCACCTTGTGTTTGAAATGTTCCTACCATTTAACAGGCTGCAATCTACATGAAGAATTGTAATGAGTTGTAAGTGCAATATAGTGTCATTTATTTATTAATCTCTATTTCAGCCATGGATCTTTTACTTGAGTCTTGATAAATGATGAATAATATTAGATTCATGTTTTGTCCTCCCCAGCCCCATCCATACGTGCACATCTCTCTCTTACCATGCGGTTATCACTGGCTCTGTGTTTCTAACTCTCAGCTTCCTCCTTGCTGCCCTCTTCATCTCTGTAACCTTCTCTTCCAGCCTCACCCCGGCTGTCAAGGTGGAGAAGATGCACCTGAGGGTGGACTCGTCAGCTAAGCTGGTGCAGGCGCCATCGACCCCCGCCACCACCTCATCCTCCTCTACATCGTCCTCTAGCACCACTGTGAGCGCCAACACTACCACCATCACCACCTCTTCCTCATCATCAGCCCTTAAAACTGGCCTTAACTGTCCCTCCATACCAAAGCCTTCATTATTGGGTCAGATTCCCAACGGCAAGGGCCACCTCTCAGTCCTCTCAGACAAGAAGCAGGACAGCAGCAGCAATGCCAGTAGCAGACGCCACCTTAACAAGAAAGTGGCAGGTCAGTCGGAGTGGGGGATGGAGGGAAACTTTTACAGTTTTGTTCTCTCTGCATTTTTTGAGGTCTAATTTGTGAATCCAGTTTAGATTATGACATTCAGTATTTTGATGTTTTCTCATATCTTGCTTGGTCCATTTCAAAATAGGCTAAAGGATTACTTAACTGTGACTCACATACCAGATGAAGTACTTGATCTTGACAGGAAATCCCCTTTGAAAGGACCTGTCATCGGGGGAGGGGGTTCGGTTAGATACTTTCAAAATCAAGCTGTCTCTTGCTAGTTTGTCCAATGTTACCTACCCTAGATTTAAATGGCTAATACTTTACATAACATAACTTACAGTTAAGGATGTTAGCAGAGCAGGTGATTTCTCACAATTTATTTAAGTTTTAACAACAGTTTTCTTCTCCCTCACTCCTCTCCTGTGCCTTCAGAACGCGAGTTCAATCCAGATACCCACTGTGGCGTTGTGGATATGACAGCTCGGAAACCATGCACAAGATCCCTAACATGCAAGGTAACCAGTCTCTGCTATTTGCTGTCCATTTGGGATCTATAATATATTATTTAAAACATAAAGCTGGGGTCGGTTGTTGCATTAGGCCTACCGGTTTTATTTACCGAGCCCTCTTCTCTCTAGCATGAGCTTTGCATCTTTGCAACTGGCTGTGCCTAACCAATCGTAACTCCTAATGCCTAAACCCAACAGCCAATCAGAGGCAGCATAGGGCCAGTCTTTTTTCTAGTCCATTACACTGTTGAGTCTGACAGCTGAACATGTGTGGACGGTAAATGACTGGCGAACGTCGGAAAACAAACCTGATGTAAGATAGAAGTAAGCTAGCTAACAATGTGAAGTTTTGAACTTTGCCCGCGGTTATTAACCAGTAATGTTAGCTAAGCTAACTGTTCAGAGTAGTGGCAGCAACCTGGATATAATGTAGGCTAATGTCAACAGGATGAAACGTGTTGGCATCTTTGTTGTTTACACTGGGGACGCTGGGGACATGTCCCAATCACTTTTTGAAAGTGTTTGTTGCTTTGAAAAATAGCTTGCAACATGAAATGGCAAAGAACCAATGAAAGTGCTTTGAGAAAGGTTTATTTGCATTTATAAGTAAGAATAAACAAGCTGATTATAAAATGACCTTTAAAGATGCAGCACCAGTCAGTAACTTTAACAACTTCTTGTCACAGTTTCTATATGGCCAAATTTTCCAATCTCTCCCCCTCTCCTTTTCGTGGAATTTGTTGACAATAACATAAATGTAGAATATTAGCAGACTTAATATTTAATTTTTTATAGAATTGATCTTATTATTTTCTGCAAAGTCACACATACAAAACTCTATTATAAATGAAGAAGCCATCATTGGACTGGTACCCAAGTAGCCCCACTTCCCAAACAATAATTCTGACCTTTGACCTTTCCCAATTTTCCACCAGACACATTCCTTAAGCCAGCGGAGGGCGGTGCCAGGGCGGAGAAAGCGCTTTGACACATTGCTGGCAGAGCACAAGAACAGAACAAGGGAGAGAGAGAGAGAAGTCCACCCTCCCCATTCCCAGCAAAACCCCTCTCTCAGGGAACCACACCCCTCCTCCCACCTCGTCGCCGCTGCCCATGACACGCACCAGGTCACTCATGGCAACGGCACCGCCCCAGATGCCACTAAGCCTTTGCCACTCGGCAAGTCCAAATTTCACAGCCCTGGTCTTCCACGGTACGTCCTGCTCCAGATCTGTTCTTGTATTTCATTCCGTCTTTTGTGTATTACCTGTAGCAACAAACCGGGCTTCCTTGCTGAGAGGTGAAACAAACACAAGTTACAATTTAGCATTTGACACGTTTTGTATGGCAAATTTGAAGTGAACATTATCGGCCATACTATCCTGTCCATCAGACTAAACAGCGGTCAAGGAGGTGGTACCCCAGGAGACCCTGCAGTAGTCAACGAGTCACCACACCATCCCCAAACTATCCCAGATGGGTGTTCCCGACCCTCCAGTGACGAGGGAGAGAACGAGGAGCGGGAGGACAACGCTGACAAACTGGACTGTCACTATTCAGGTTATCACCCTCGACCGGCAGCTGTAAGTGTACTCCACCATCACTGGTCTCTAATCAGCCGTAGACAACTTTCCTTTTATGTTACAGTAGTTAAAGAAGCTGTACACGACATTCACTGGCACTAAATATCGCACTAGAGCACCAGCATCTCAGACCAAAAGCAGACCCAGACTCCACTGAGTAAAAATAGCAATTTTACCTTGCATATCATAAAACACACTTATTTCAAACTGGACAGAAACAAAATTTGATTGAGCAGGTTGTTATTATAAGTGTCTGGGAGTCCCCACAGAGGTAGACCTTTTTGTTAAGATCCTTTTTATTTAACCAGAAACTGCCGTTATATCGTTCTAGCTCACTATTAGACTCCATTGATTAAAACACACTTCATTCAAACTGGACAGAAACGAAATAAAACTCACCAAAAACATCTTGGCTAGTCTTTCCACAAGCTCTGGATTGTTTGCAATAAATCTTAAATACATGGCGTTGGATGAGAAAAGAAACAGCTGTTGTATTGCTGTCCTCAGAGCCAACAGCTTCACAGAAAAGGGACTCGTATGCGCTTGCGGCCAGACCAAATCATAGACCAGAAATTGGAAACACAAACAGTTTGAGTGTGACGTCATTCTCTACTTACTCCTTTATATCTTTACAAGCCAATAGTTGTTTGCTCATATACAGAATCTTTGAAGGATTTACAGAAAATAATCCATTATTTGTTTCAGACATCAGAAATTCTAAGCACCATTCGCTTTTTATGATTGACAGTATACTTCAAGGTTGTTCATTAAACAAAATTGGTAATTGCTGCCCCCATTCTGTTCCCAGTACTGTACCTTTGGAAGTCGACTCTTTGGGAGAGGCTGTTACTCCTTTGACCGGCGATGGGACAGAGTGCGATGTGCCCTAACCACGATGATGGACAAGCATGTCAACTCTCAGATGTGGAAGTAAGTCTTGTGGCTTTAGGGACATGATAGCCTTCTTGTCTTTTATGGTTTTAACAGTCTTATCTAATGAATGAAATTCTTCCTTGTTGCAGAAAAATCCCCTTGGCCTTGGAGAACTCCTCCGTTGCACCTACCCATAGGACAAGCACAAATTCCCATGGTAGCACTCCCTCTTCAGGCTTCCTGGGCCCCCCTGCCACCTTGCCCCAGACTCCTTATAGCCAATCCTACGAGGGCAAGTCCGTGCTCTCCTATGGGACCACCTTAAATGCCCGCAGCTCCCCACAGGGCGGGGCTGAGCACCCGGCCTACGGCATTACGCAGGCCCGACAAGTGTCTTCGTCGCCGCAGATGCCTTCAGCCCACTCGTCCTCATCCTCTTCTTCAGCTCCTTCCCTAGCCTCAGGCCGGGCGCTTAAGTCCCGTTCCTCCAGCAGCAGCACTACCAAGTCCTCATCGTCCTTCAGGCCCAAGGAGATCTCCTCTGGCTCCTCCACTCCTGTCATTCCCAACTCCACTGGTGGGGGCAGCAGTGGAGCCAGCAGTAACAGTAGCAGCACTAGCTTCAGCTCGGGGAAGAAGAGGAAGAACAGTTCTATTCTCTCTTCATCACATGGCCCCTCTGACTCCTCCTCTTCGAATGCCATCTACTCTTCCTCCTCTTTCAAGAAGAACTGTGCAAATGTCGGCAGCTCAGGGAGCACCTACCACCACAGCTCATTAGGTCCTGCATCCTCATCGTCATTATCCTCCTCCCACAGCGGAGTCCACAGCGTGGGGCTTAACTGCGGCCCCACTGTGCGAACCAACTCACTTAGTCTCAAGGCAGAGCCTTCTGGAGGTTCAGCAGGCGGCTCCTCGGGGCCGCCAGCAAGAGGGCCTCCCTCGGGCAGCCCTGCGGAGTCCATCAAGCGCATGAGTGTGGTGATGAACAGCAGTGACTCTACTCTTTCCCTGGGGCCCTTTGTCCACCACCAATCCTCATCCGACCACCACACCAGCTTCAGCCACCACTCCTCAGACGGGCGCCTGGAGGGCAAGAAGCGCAAAAGCTCCCCTGCCTCCAGCGGCATTAATAGCGGAGCTGGAGGAGGAGGGCTTGGGGGAGGAGGAGGGGGACCTGGACCAGGTAGACCCAAAGTGGCCAAGTCACCTGCCATTAACAACATCCATGGGAAGCACGGGCGGAGCATTCCGGGGACGCCAGGGCTACCCAACAACTCCCATTTACATCAGGTGCGTAATGTACTGTGCCATCAATTTTTAATGACAGTGGGGATAATAATAATAATAAATTATTATATTATACATCACATTTCACAAAAGTTTTAAACTGCACTCAAAGCTATCTGACAGTGTTGCTGAATAAACAAGCGGTAGCCACAAAATGTACATGTAAATGTGTAAAATTTTCTGAAACAGTGGATTGATTAGTTTGACAGAAGATTGATCTGTGAAAATCGTAAAATAGTTTAATTCGTTTTCAATCTAAAATGCCAAACTTTCACTGGATCCATTGTCTTAGTGAGGATTTTCTGCTTGTCTCAGTTTTAAATAATTGTAAAATTGGGACAGTTGGTTTGGTGACACAAGACATTTGAAGACGGCAGCTTAGGCTCGTCATTTTTAACAGTTCATAGGCTAATTGATGAATAAAAACATAATTAATGAATTGCATCCCCACATCATGAATAAAGTGGATATAGAGCACCAAAGTCGTGACGTCACATCTGGACTCTGGACTCCCAGTGTTTCTTTCATCGACCTGTCGGGGGGGGGGAAATGAAGCACGTTCCTGGGTTTACTTTCCATATTCTAACACTAAGTTGGCACCCACTACAGCACTGGTTTTAAGAAATTGAAACCTTTTGTTTAATTTAATGGGGGTTAATGATTTCTTTTAGGAGCGCAGAAAAAACTACAAGGGTACCGTCATCTTAATTTAGTTTTGTTCATATCCATAAAATTCAGCAAAACTCTCGTAAATAGGTGTCTAAAACGTTCTACAGCGTTCAGTCCTTCCTTCATTCATTCATTAATTCACTCAGCTTGTCAGTAAAATCAATTAAAGGAGCAGATAGATGTATAGTTTAAACTGGTATAGCATCATCCTTAACCTGCAAAGTGAGTCCGCTTGCGTCGCGTGACGGCTATGCCGCGGCTGCCTGAGCTTATCGCAACCATTCTAGTCGATGCATGTGAGTCCACCAGACGCGACACTGTGCAGAGAATACACAGCAGGTCTATTTTTGGCGGAAGCCGTGAAAAGCTGCACAGAGCAGATGGAACCAGGCAGGAGAGAGAATCTGGTCAATTTTTTTTTTCTTAATCATCAAGCACCAAAAACAACTGATTACCAAGTCAACAAAATCTAAACAGGATAATTTTATTCATTCTGATCGTTCTTCACGAATCTCAGTTCTGACTCCAACACCACAATTCTTGGGGTGCGCATACAGTTGATATTGACTACCACCTATATACAGAGTGCTAGCCTCGAAAACCAAGATGTTTTCTAACATTAACTTAGCTCTCCTTATTAGCTAGGCTCCTTACATGCTTGCTAATAACTTTTTAAAGCTGGGTCTCTGACATTGACAGAGTTTTGTTGGACAGATTTGTGCAGCTGTGTTCATGAGGGAGCGAGAGAGAGGGACGGGTGAGTGAGAGAGAGCAAGAGGATGTGCTGTGCGAATGTGCTATGACGCTCTGCAATCAAATACGATTTTAAATAGGCCTAGTAAAAAAAAAATCGAAAATCAATATGTGGCGGTCAGCGTTCATATTGTGGTGGGCCGCCACATACAAATGAATGTATGGGAAAACTGTATATTGGAATAATTTGTAGGCATCATTCGTTTACCTTCAGTATAAAAGGTGAAAGCCATCTGTGTACCTAGTATGTTGCTACTGTTAGAGTTAGCTTAATCTGGGGCGTCATTGTAGCTGGAAGACCACAACACATTAAAGACGGTGCATTCCTTCAGATTCACGCTGTGTTTAAGTAAATGCTTCATCATGCTCCTTATTGCAGGTGCTGCATTTTGCTGTGCCGTTCTTTTTTTTTTTTTTTTTTTTTTTTTTTTTTTTGTGAAGCTAAGCCAAACTTTGGTCCGCCATTATCCAGGAATGTAACTCTTCTTGCACGCTTTGTTGACATACTATAACATATGTGAAGTTAGGTCAGCATAGCAGGTCCTGGCAGATAAGTGCAACTTTTATGGACTTTAAAATGCAAAACATTAGGGCACGATAAGCAGAATCGAAATGCATGTGTCTTAACGGATCCACGGTTCTGGAAATTTAGAACCAGTTCTCGTTACCCAACTCTAATTGGACCTTTTGTGCTTGCCTAGACTGAGAGATGACTTAACAACCATTTTAACAGATTTTTTTTTTTTGTCCCTCTTCCCCAGCCAAAGGCTCGTCCCTGACAGCGGTGTCCGGCTTCTGTGTATGGAACCGGCAGGCGGACGGGGAATAGTTCGGAGCAGTCCGCATACTGCTCTGGACTGCACGAGGCCTTCCAAAATCAAACCCACATTACTCTCAGCTTCCCACAATCCTCAGGGTGGAGATGATCTGGACTGCCCAGTGAAGTCAATGTGGTCCTTCCTCTTTCTCCCAAAGCCATGTGTGTGTGTGTGCCTGCGTGTGTTTGTGTGTATGGCGGGGGGGGGGGGTGGCGTGGAGCACCAGGGGTCTAATGAGCGAGCCAAGGACCCCCCACGCAAGTGTTGTCCCTGTATTCGGAGAGGTCTTCCTGTTTGGTTGGAAGTAGGAGGAACAATAGCAACAGCCATGGGTCTCTTGAGCTGCGGTTCAAAAGCTCTTCGGGTTCAGGTTAAGGGCTGCCGCAACAAGCCGTCGTGACACTGAGCAACTGGGGAGACAGCAAGCCGATCTCCTCCGTGTTTGTTAGAATGAGTGTGTGAATGTGAGTGCGCGTACGAGTATTTTTCTCACGTCAGATTCTGCTGGACTACTGGAATTTCCAACTTAATTACACCCCCAGCGCCTGATCTCAGAAGCCTTGGAAGGAGAGCACGAGGAGCAGCAAACTGTTACTTGCAACACCTTAACCAACAAACAATCACTTTGTTGTTTCACTTTCTGTTAGACTGACTCTCTGGTGACAACATCGAGTAGCCTCGGGTTACGCGCAGTAGCCTTGAGAGGAGCCCGTAGGGACGATCTGGTCAATTCTTTTATTATCCAGAATAATTATGCAAGAGTTACCTTTTTATGATTTCTTATGAGCTTTTTTACACCGAGCTACAAAGAGTCTTTGTAGACAGTGGTGACGAAAAGTTGTGCTTTCAAATGTGAAAAGGACGCCTGATGTGCCCATTCGATTGAATCTTTTGTCAGAGAGCGAGCTTGGTCTTGAGGACACCTGTTCATTTTATGAATCTTTTCTTTGTGCAAAATGATCCACACAGTAGACCTACCCCCGACTGTGAACAGCACTAAATAACAACTTTCTCCACAGGCACCGATTAGTTGTCCACAAAGCTAGCCAAAAGCTGCCATCAGCTTTGCCGACTACTTTGTTTGTTTTTTTTTCCTTATCTAAAAGGTCTTGCTCGTGAAGCGGTGATGGTGCATTGCCTGTGTGGACGTGAAGAAAATCTGTGCAAACCGTATCATTATTGCCACAACTTACCTACTTTGTACCCATACAGATGTATGAAATCCACAGCTGGTGTGGGCAGATGTGAATTATAATGTTTATTTTTCCTACATAGGGAATCAGGTATGGTACGTCTTAACTGGAGCAAACGTTATGCACGTCACCTGTCTTCTGTGGGTTCAATTCTCCCTCCTTATGTGTAACCACTACCCAAGCTCTGGATGTTACAGTTTCAATGCCTCACCCAAACACTATGAGTGTGTGTGTGTGTGTGTGTGTGTGTGTGTGTGTGTGTGTGTGTGTGTGTGTGTGTGTGTGTGTGTGTGTGTGTGTGTGTGTGTGTGTGTGTGTGTGTGTGTGTGTGTGTGTGTGTGTGTGGAGAAAAGATTTGTCACAGTAAAATGGATAGCCAGGCATTATACTGTATTCCTTTGTCAAAATGGAGTCTTAAATCAGGCAATACTTGCCCATCTCGTTGGGATGTTTGCTTATTCTGAGTGGTCTCGAGTGGGTTTTATGGTGCGAGATTCATGGTGATGGCTTCACGGGACACATTTAAACTTTTGGCAACACCCGTTGATTTATGGATCCTCCACTGATGTCAGATAATGTGGAAAAGTAAAGGAGACAATTTTTTTTAATTTAGCTTTTTTCTTGTAGCCTATATATCAAACAAGTATTGAAGTATCCCTATTTGAGAATACATATTTTGTTAACAAATTGTACATAGTGAAATATGTATTTTTGCACAGGCATTTTTCGTACGCGCTGATTTTTTTTGGTACAATTTTCCAAAAAAAAAGGAAAAAGTCATTATTTATTTAGTAAAAAAAGATGAAAAGTCAGTGGTTCACTGCCAAGTTTATATAATGCAATACGCCTATATGTAGAAGCTGAAGCATCTCATGAATCGTGTACTGAAACCTTTAAGGAACAAAGGTGAAGTGTTGCCACTGTAGCATGTCTGTACGAGAGGAAACCTTTATTCACTTTTCAAGGTCTCAATCACATGTGCTTTTACAAGACATTTTATGTTGCCTAAGAATCAATACAACGCCGACAGAAAAAAAAAAGTTACTATATGACCCAATTAGCCTGTGATTTTTCAAATGTCCTGCAGGCTTGAAGCTGCGCCTGTTGTCTAACCAGTTTCTACGGATTCTTCAGTCGTACACTTTGTAGACCTTCAACATATTTCATGATTTAAACACGCGCGTTGATTAGAAAGGCTGAAGGGACTTAAAGCAATCACTGCAAGGAAGAGGAACACTTCACACGGTCCGGCTGCTTGCATCATCGTTGCCAAACAAGTAATTTGAATCACAGCTTTTAAAGACATAGTTTGCAGCTTTTAAAAGAAATATCAAATTAAGAAAGTGCCTGAATTAGTTTCACCCTGACTGTTTAAGGACAGTATTCTTTGGGTTGTTTTACCTTACTTGAATGTTCAAAGTGTTTAGGAGTTTGCTTTTAAATCTGCCTATGAACCCTAAATGTGGTAAAAACCTAAGCTTGTCAGCTGCCCATTATCAAACACTTTAGTATTGTGTGTTTGTTTTTTTTGTTTTGGGTTTATCCAAGTTTTCCGAACAAGACGTTGAGATTTTCTGTTAGCCTCAGTGTGTGGCTTAAGTCCCCTCCCTCCCTCTGGTTTACTGGGTTTTGTATGTTAAAAACCTTCAATCAAGTGTTTTGTTTACCCTCAAACTCAACAGACATCTTCACATCGTTTCCGGTCGATGGAAAAATCGTGAGGATTTTTTTTTTATTCGCACCATAGACTTGGAATGTGAAAGTGGGAGAATACAGCTCATGTTTGGGAGGACAAAATAAATCCACCATTCATACTATGTAAAAGCGTGTATAGAATTTCTTTTTGTATACATTATCAAAATCATTTTCAGCTGGACTTATGTATTGGCTGCTATGTAATTCATGAACAAAATATAGGTTAGAATTAATATTTAAAGAAAAAAAGATTGTATAGTATATTTGTTTTGTAACAAGTTTCTGTAAATAAAATAATTTATACTGCTATTTATATGAAATGATGTGTCTGCCTCTTTCCTAAAATAAAACAGCCAAGAGAAACAGTTTAAACAAATTTTATTATATACACAATATAAGAGTCACTTTGTCAGACAAACTACAGGTTTGAGTATACCAAGAAGAATGATGCAAGACCCCGTTGCTGTAATGAGAAAATATGGCCTCCGTGGTTACATGTTGATAACTCTAGACAACTTCTGGACTCTGTTGAGCAGCAGGTCACCCTTCTTGATGGTTTCCTGGTATTGCCAGTTTTTGCTATCAGGTCTGGAAAGAAGAACAAAGATTTAGAGGTCTTTGGTTACCAAGTCATTTTTGGAAGTATTGAGGTTTGAAGAATAGCAAACGTTTACCTATTGGTTTCCACAATCTCATTCACTTTATCGATTTTACAGTGGAGACGGCCAGCAGCTATGAATCGGGACAGTTCCCTGAGGACGGAGAGGACATTTAGTTCAGTTAGCCAGAACAAAAGTCAGTGACTAAATGGAATCAGATCATTGCTTCCCATTTTTTTGTATGAGTTTGTGTCTATTTAGCTGTTTAAGTCCATAGAATTTGGCCAGTAAGTACAGACCCGAGTTTCCACGCTGGAAAAAAATAAAAGCCCCTACAGGATGTGGCATATGAACATGGGGTACGGGCACTCACTGGTCAATGAACTCTGTGCTGACACCAAAGGCCTCGGCCATGTAGCCCAGGGTGAGGGAGCGGTAGGACTCTAGCAGTTGGCTGTAGGCCTGGATCCTCATCTCCCTCACATAGTAGCGGTAGTGTGGCGCAAAGAGCCAGTCCTTCTTCATCTCCTGCTCCACCATGGCTGTGGCCCAAAGACAACAAAGTTTGACAAGCATTACTAAAGTGTCACGATGTGGCAGAGCAGGTAAAGGGCTGTACCATGCAGCGATAATAAAGCCTGAGAAAATTCTGACAAATATTAGAATACATTAAACAAGAGAATATAAAGAACTTCATGGGTTGTAGTGATTGACAGCAAAATAACACAGGTGACCAGATAAAGTGTTTGTTTCTTCAGGCCAAGAAAAGGCTTCCTCACCCAGAGACTGGAAGAAGACAGAGTAACGGCACTCGTAGAGGGAGAAAAGATACTGGCGAACATCAGGCAGACTGTGCAGCACCTCCAAGATCTCTGCTCCCTTTATTACCTGAAGAAGAACACATTTTATTGCAGTCGTGCTGCCACCTTACAAATGTGTAATGCCAGCACCTTAACCTGGGTGAGGGTATTTCACAAATCCAGTATACATTAATTGATGAAGTACTGGGAGCAAATACACACAGGAACTTCGTCAACAGTCTTTTGTGCGTACACATGCTCAGTCTCCTACCTTTTCGCGGAGGTCAGGCCTTTTGAGGGCGATCATGCAGACGTAGACGGTGTAGGTGACAAAGGTCTTGTAGTCCATGAGCTCATAGGAGGTGAAGGTGGAGACTGTGTCGAGGAAGAGCTCAGCAGCTTGTTTGAAGTCCCTGATGGCTACACAGTACAGGCCCTGGTAGACCTTCAGACGATTCCTCCTGTCCCAGTCTCCCCCCTCCTCAATGAGGCTATTGAGACGGAGACGCATAGGTAGATGAGCACTGAAAAGATTACTGCAACTGTTGGTGGGAATGTTTTTGAAAAAGGACATTAGAGCCTTTACCTCTTTGCTTTCTCTGAGTTGCGTGTGATGAGGTCACTATCCATGTAGAAGAGGCCAATCCTCAGCAGGTAGAAGACTATATCTAGTCTGTGACCCAGAGCCACTGTCTTGTCGTAGGTCTTCCTAAAGGCTGTAAGGGCGCCCTCCTGTAGACAAACTTGACAATGTCAGTGAATCTGTAACTATTCACGTGTGGACATAGGTGTACAACTGTGACTGGTTCTCATAACTACATCCATCTTGACAAAGATTTATATTTACCACTATAAATCTACTTACTGCTATGCTATTTCACAAAGAAACTGTCAACCACTTTGCTATAATGCCTTGTCACTTTAGGAGGGATATGTACAGCCACTAAAGTAACTAGCCATTATAGATGAGCTGTCATCCAAAATACAGAAAAGCTGATGTGTAGTGGAGTCAAGAGCGCCACTTGCTTTAATAAAAGTCAACGACAGGAAAACACGCTGCTTTAGTATATTTATACTTTGGATTTTGGCTCTGATAAAAAGCAGTGTTTAATGAATAGGTAAGACATTAGTGAAGGATATTTTCCTTGAGAAATATACTTAGCATTAGAACGACTAAGTGTTTATGATATTAACTGGCACAGACACCACCATTAGTTAAGTGCACTCTGCAAAGTGTATGGATTTATCGACATTTCAAATGAGCAACTTTCAGCAGGCAATATTGTTGTATGTCATGAATTCTGTCCACACAATGTACTCATCTGCAAAAGTCACGACGCACAAAGTTGTAATGTGTAATGACAGGGAAACTCTTACTGCTTTGAATACAATGAAAGGCAACAAAAGGTGATTTTGAAAGACAGGAAAGCAGCATAGTCCTTCAGACAAATAATATACTTCTTGGCTACTGACCTACCGCGCACGCACGCACACACTGTACATGCACAGTAAATTTCACAGATCAGATGATTCCCTTTTATATAGGGTAGATATTACTCCTATCAATACGGCCATGGGGTTCAGCCTGGATATGCAGATTAGTATTAATGTTTAGTAAACTGGAGTTTTGTACTAGCGTATTTCCCTTTCTAAAGGTCACTCTGATCATTGCTTCAGTGAAGCATTTTTACAAATAGGACAGCTGATGATAAAGGCAACACATTGAGTTATCTGCCACACTAACCCCTGTTTCCATCCAGGAGGTCAGTGTGGACACTGTGGAGGACTATAAATCCCTCGGAGTGCACATGGACAATAAATCTAGACTAGGCCAAGAACACTCAAGCCCTCTATGGGAAGGGCCAGAACGGTCACGATTTTCTGAGGAGGCTGAGGTCCTTCAACAACTGCCGGACAATGCTGAGGATGTTTTATGAGTCTGTGGTGGCCAGTGCCATCCTGTTGCTGTTGCATGCTGGGGCAGCAGGCTGAGGGTAGCGGACGCTAACAAACTCAACAAACTAATCCGCAAGGCCAGTGATGTTGTGGGTGTGGAGCTGAACTCTCTGTCGGTGGTGTCAGAGAGGAGGATGCTGTCCAAGCTTCATGTCATCTTGGACAATGTCTCCCACCCACTCCATGATGTCCTGCTCAAACACAGGTGCACTTTCAGTGCAAGACTTCTTCCCCCAAAATGCATCACAGAGTGCCACAGGAAGTCATTCCTGCCTGCCATCAAGCTCTATCACTCCTCCCTTAAGCTGCTACTATTTATTCACTATTACTGTTCACCATAGCAAATCTTTAATAATGTAAATACTGTACATACCCACATTCTTTATATTTTTCTTTATATTTACACTCTTATATTTGTGTATTTCTTATCTACCAACTTTCTATTATTATTTCTGTTCCTTTAAGCCTGTGCAACTGTGACACAGAATTTCCCCTCAGGATGAATAAAGTATTTCTGATTCTGAACTCCAATTCCATTTTCCCCAGATATTGCAATAAATTATTATTAATAACATCGTATTTGCCCTACATTGTATTTCTAACAAACTATATTGTCTTAATGGCCAACTTGTATTATCCACTTTCATTCAACATATGCCAATGTGTCAAACTGACAGTGTAGATAAACATCACAGTTGGCCAGTTTTAATTTTCACACTATAACGTTACAGGACATTATGCCATAGAGCGCCTACTCATAGAGGGTTTGTTTGCTGACTGAGGAGGACTTACCTTGTCTCCAATCCTGATCAGATATTCAGCTTTGGCCATCATGGCGTCTCGTATCTCGCTCTCTCCCAGGTTCTTCTCTGCGTCCTCCAGCACATCATCCAGGCGCTTCAGCTCCTCCTCGTTGGCCTTCTTCATTTTACTGAGCAGGTCGCTGTCCAGCTGCCACTTCAGGTCCTTACACAGACCCTCATAATACGGGGCCATATCTGAAGCAGAGAGAAACTAAGATTGTTAAACCTGTGGACTAGATTATGACATCCCTCTCACTTTAAAAACACTTGGCGCGTCTCATATTTTCGACCCAGACTGGTTTTAAGACGATTTTTCTACCAGACAAGGTTATGTCTGGTAGACAAATCGTTTAACTTTAATTTAGAACAGCCTCCTTTATTTCGCCCCTATACAGTCCATTGGAAGGCGATAAAAATAAAGCAGAGATTGAAAACTGAACAGGAATTTAACTTGGAAAGGTCACGTAAAGTTTGAATTGCTTGCTACGGTTAGCTAATACAGTTAGCTAGCGAGCTAATTTCCCTGTGATGATTGGTATGTTACAGTGGAATAAATTTCTGGATTGTATCTGCATTTAAGAGACAATTCTGCACCCAGTACAAAACGCACGGTCGTACATTAATGTCAGCACCGTGTATATAATGACCAGGCTATTGAGGCTGCCGTTACAACTGTCGGAGACATGCTAACTCACTGTTAGCTTTGATAGCGTCCATGAGCTCTGTCTTCACTTTAGCATCCTGTCGGTGACCATCGATTGTGAGCAGGAACTTGAGCTGTGCTATCCTCAGGTCGGGGTTCTTGGGCAGACCCTCTTCCTCCAGATTCTCTAGCGGCATTTTTAGTCAAAAATATAGAAACAAAGACACAAACTGAAGGCTCTTTTTGTGTAGGCAGTTACCAGCTAGTCAACGATGACTACGGAAAACACTGCACTGTGTTGTTTCCGGCGTAGCGTCAGTCAGCGAGGGGAGAAAAGAGCGGAGGACAGCCTGACGTTTAATAACCAAGTTACCGTTCACTGCCTCCTGCTGGACATGTGGGGGAACTACACATGTGTCCTAATTATCACATGTAACACCAATCTCTGCTGTATGGCTGTATGGCCTGCTGTCTTTGTAAGAACTACACAACAAATCAATAGACTTACCATTTTATACTAAATGGACATGATACAATATTCAGAAGGATGTCAAATAAATTGCTTTGAAACTTTAAAGCTAATTATACTTAATCTTAAATCTTAAATCCCAATAATTGTTATGTGATTGTTACGAATTAGTATGTACCTTTAAACCTTTTAAATCCTATTGTGTGCTATGGTGAATGGTCAGCAATAGTGTTACATTGCCATGGTGTGAAATGTTCCAAAGCACTGGTTTGATGACACAATTTACATTGTACAAACCTCCAAATGCTGATGGTAAAATCTATGAAATTCCTAAGCTATGTCATGTATTAATTTACAGCATTAATACTGATTGGCCTTTTCTGCAAATCAAAAAGTATAAAAAAATAAAAGAAAGAAAGAAAAAAAAAAATGTATGTATGTACACTGAGCTTACATGGTCTGCACTCGGAGACACCCTTGTATCAACCCCAATATAAAAGTCCATTGAGATGAGCGGATGAGTGACTCACGAAAGGGAAATTGGCAGGGTTGCGGAGTGATTGCTGGTTACTTTATTTCTAGAAAGTCTGAAAAGTTAATGATAACCAGCCTTAAATACTTTACAGAGTTCATTTAGTCTGTACACATGTACTGTAAGGTCCATGCCAGTGAATACAGAAAGAATGGAAACTTTGCTGCGCCAGCTGGTAGGCTTTTACTGGATTTGTTTAATAGAAGACTGTATGATTTTTATATAGATATAAATGTTCACACAACGGTTTAAATAGTAAGAAAATATGTTTGTGTCTTTTATAAACATTGCTATTTTTCCTGCATAAACCTGACATTATGTTTTAGCTCTAACAAACTTTTATCAACATGGAAAATGGAAGAAATACATATTAACGTGTTGTTTTAGGCAAGCGGGTTGTTTTCTGAGTTTGTCCGAGCTCAGTGACTCATCTAAGCTGAGTCATTGCACTTTGTCAGTTTCAGAGTTGTTTCTTCTTACTCAACAGATTCAGAGGTGAGGAATCTCATAGAAGATAAAACCTATATTATGATTTTTAACAAGATACAGAATGGGAGTAAGAAAAATCCTGATCTGTGAACAGTGCGCCAAGCATTACAGCTTGTTTCATTTTTAAGTTTTTAGTTTTTAAGTTCTAGAGTTTATTTTCCCACAAAATTGTGGCAGTTTCAGTAAGGAGAACAAAACAAGAGGGGTCACTTTGATTTTAAATAAACATTGATAGGTAGGTTATACTGAAGAATAATAAAATGATCAACTAGGAACACAATTTTTTCTTGACATGACAGCAGTTGTTATTTCACATTGTTACGAGAGGTCACCTGTTGTTTCGATGATCAGACTGGTCAAGGAGTGGTCCTTATTTTAAAGTGGGGCATATAGTATAAGTCCAAAACAGGTTTCCTTTCTGAGAAATTTTATTACAATTTTTGCCAGTTGCTTGAACACTATAGACCCATGCTTAGACTAAAGTAACACAACTTGAAGCTTTTGTTACCATACCTCAAACACATGTACCCATACCTTAAACAAAAGCGCTGCTTTGCACTCTAGTTGCAATTCTGCAACACACTTACTCCTTTATGCAACACACTTGGTCCTGCATACTACACTCTATTTCATACTTAAGACACTTCGTTCAAAAATGAAATCTCAGGGTGCCATTTGGAAAACACATGTATCCAAAATACAAAACACATCGGGTAATTGCAACCACTCAAATACACACCTGAAGGCACTTCAAAACTGAACACCAATCAGCCAGCTACAAAAAGCCCTCAGCTTAGCCATTTCAAGAACTTTGCAAGCATGGATGGAGGGAGAGCAAGAGGCAGAGGTAGAGGAAGAGGAAGAGGAAGAGGAAGAGGAAGAGGAAGAAGAGGAAGAAGAGGAAGAAGAGGAAGAGGAAGAAGAGGAAGAAGAGGAAGAAGAAGGAAGAGGAAGAAGAGGAAGAAGAGGAAGAGGAAGAGGAAGAAGAGGAAGAAGAGGAGGAGGAGGAGGAGGAGGAGGACGAGGAGGAGGAGGAGGAGGACGAGGACGAGGACGAGGTCGAAGAGGCCATGCACGGACCCCTAATTTCTGATGATATAAGAGCAACTTTGGTGGACCATGTCATCAACCATGGCCTGACTATGAGGGAAGCTGGGCAGAGAGTCCACCCACATATATCACATTGTGTGTCGCCATAAGCCTTCGAGGGCTTCTGCATCATCATGCAAAACTAGGTCCATTCAATAGCCAACATATACTCACATTTCTAGATGCTCTCCATAATATAGTTGTACAGAACAGACCAGATCAGCCCAGGTTTGTGGTGGTATGCGATAATGTCAGTTTCCATCGGGCTGCTCTGGTCCAGGCCTGGTTCACCAACCACAATCAATTTGAAGTGGTATACTTGCCCCCTTACTCACCATTTTTAAACCCTATAGAGGAATTCTTTTTGGCTTGGAGATGGCGTGTATATGGCCGCCAACCACATGCCCGCATGCCTCTTCTGCAGGCAATGGAACAGGCCTGCGGCGACATTCAGGTGACAGCAATCCATGGATGGTTTTGACATGCAAGGGGATATTTTCCCCGGTGCCTAGGGGGAGAAGACATTGCTTGCGATGTCGATGAGGTCCTGTGGCCAGACCCCAACAGACGGCGGGATCCATGAGCCCACGTATGCACAATTGCCATGATTTTCTGTGTGTACAGTATAGTGTTTTTTGTATTATTATATATATATTTTTGCTTTATCTGAATTCATGTTACTGCAATGTACAGTGCTGCAATGTACAATTTTGAGTAGGCCTTGAGTTGCTTTTTTGGTTGTTTGAAAATGTGCCTCCTGAAAATATGCCTTCTGAATAAACAGTGAAAATCAAAGACTGCAGTGTTTTATAAAAAGTAGACTAGTGTGATCCCCCTGATCTGAAAGTGTATGCATATGATGCAAGTATGTGTCATTTTGTCATCAGAGTTACATTTTGACAAAAGAATGTTGTTGCAAAATGTGTTCAAGCAACGGGCAAAAACTGTAATAGTGTTGATAGTATGCATTTTTAGGGTAAATATCATCATTTTGAAAAGTACCCCGTTCCCCCCCAGAGGATGTAATACAGACTGTGTACCTTGTTCCACCATTTTTGTAAAGCTCATGCAGTCATGGGAATCAAGGAGGTCAAAATGACTTCTAGCAGCCTTACCTGTGTCTGATCTGAGTCCTCTTTCTGTTTTCACTCTGCTTTGTAGACCCACGGCAATGCTCTGTTCCTCATCATCATTTTGGGACTTGGAGGAAGCTTTCAATCTGGATACCACATTACTGGTTTGAGCTCTCCCTCCCCGGTGAGATGCATCACTTTTCATCCAATTGCTTTGTGCTTCACCTCTCTCTCCAAACTCTTGCACCAAATTTTCACCTCCAGTCACTGGTTGAGGCCGATGGCGTGTGTGTGTGCACGTGTGTGCGTGCGTGCTTGTGTGTGTGGTGCCTGTGAGTCTAAATGTGAAAAGTTAAAAGAGCATAATTTCTTGCTGAGTTCAAAGCTACAAAATAAAACTTTCCCTGCAGCACATACAGCGCTTCATCAACAGCAGCTGGTTTGACAGATATGAGGAGCCCCCACCTCCGCAGACAACCACGATGATCTGGTCCCTTATTGTTTCCATGTATGCTGTCGGGGGACTCTTTGGTGCTGTCAGTGTCAAACTGGTCTCATGCATGCTGGGAAGGTGTGTAAGAGATACTTAATGGCACATTCAGTCCTTAAACCTAAAAAGACTTGACATGGGTTCCTTTATCAGGAAAAAAGCGATGATCTGCAACAGCTTCATTGCCATTATTGCTGCCGGGATCATGCTGACAAGTAAATGTGCCAGATCATATGAAATGATCATTGTGGCAAGGATCCTGTACGGCTACTCAGCAGGTAAGCCACCGGGGACACATGTGTACATAAACACATCATGATTTTACCTGATAGACTAACACCCACTCATGGCCAGCAGGTTTGGGAATGAGCATCCATTTAATGTACCTCGGAGAGATTTCCCCCAGAAAGTTGCGAGGCATAGTGACTCTGACCTCAGCAACCTTCACGTCACTTGGCAAACTGTCGGGACAGTTTTTTGGACTGAGGTATGCACTCACTGCAAATATGTACGAGATGACAACAGTTGTTTTGATTATTTTAGAGGATAAGAGAGCTCAGTGTGCACTGGATGTTCAAAATGCGGGTGACACAATTCTTTCATGAGCAAATGAGGAGAATCCACGTCATTTAGCTAAAAGGAGGCAGAGTGGTTGGAGAATAATTTTGTAAGTTTTGAGAACTTTGCAAAAAGAGCTTCAACTTGATGTAAAGGGGTGTAAATGAAGATTCAGATTCCTACAGTAAAATGAACAACATTTAACACTTCATTTTGTTTTTACAGTGAGATCCTTGGTGGTGAGGAGCTGTGGAACATCGTCCTCTGTGTCCCTGCATTTTTCTCCCTGGTTCAGGTTATAGCGTTGCCTTTTCTTCCCGAGGCTCCCAGATACTTATTCATAGAGAAAGGTGATGATAAGGCTTGCACAAAAGGTTGGTGTATTTCCCCCACAGTCATGCAGTACCTGACCAAACAGCCTTTTACAGTTTGAGCATAAACACAAAACAATGCATCTAAGGTGGGTTAAATCAAGGGCAAATGGACTAGTCGAAGATACTCATCCAAGAGTACTCTTCACTTCTGAACTGAAGACGTTACGCCTCTCTTCCAAGAGCTCTAATAAATGCTTTGATTGGATGAGCAGCGACACATTTCCGAGAATCTTCAACCAAGTCCAGTTGCCCTTGATTTTAATCCACTTTGGATAACTATGACCTGGATGACAGAGAATCTTCACAGACACAAAACAAATAAGAAAAATGTTGTGGTCTACCAACACATGTTGGATCATAGAGCCTTTGACTATTACCTGCTGACTTCCCACTATAAAGACATTCCTATGTTTTATCACTCGGCATAACAAACACCCATTCAAACACATATGTTCATTTAAATGTTTTGTATGTGAGGAGCACATACTCATGTCTGAGTTTTTTGTGTCTATGTCTCTGGCCCAGCTCTCCAGAGTCTTTGGGGCCCAGGTGACTACAAACAAGAGATGGACGAGATGTTGGCTGAGCAGGCTGCCATTGAGGCAGCCCCGCTAAAAAGCCCTCTGCAGCTCCTGAGGGACAGGACCGTCCGATGGCAGCTTATCACCATGTCCACCATCTACTGCTGCAATCAGCTGTCGGGCATGCCTGCTGTGAGGATGGAAATACCTCATTTCATGCAAATAGTAGCATCCCAACAGGGACGATCATAACCTTTCAAAAAATGCTTCTCTCCTTCCCAGATCAGTACCTTCTCTTTTGACATCTTCCTGAAGGCAGATATACCGAGAGACAAGATCCGCTATGTAACCTTGGGTCTTGGAGTGTCTGAAATCATCACATCCATCTCCTGTGTGAGTGGCTCCCTCAGTCTGCGCTCTTTATCTCCACATCTTCACCCCTCTCGTGGCAAAGGCCATCTTTTCTTTACATAGTTTCTTCATTTGGTACAGAAACACTGCATTTTTCTTCTTTACTTCCTGGGCTGTTAATTGTGGAAACATTTGTTGTTCAGTTCAGGCAGTGATCTGCAGGTGGTTTGAACGGCTGCCACTACTACCAGTTGCCTGTATGTCTCATGTTAGCTAGCTCAAGTCCACTGCTACACTCACATGGCTCACTTTTCTCTGTATATCCAACACACGGTGGCTTGCTTAAGCTGTTAGTGCTGCCCTGCCTGCTGTCACGGAGCAGCAGAACAGATTATCTATAGGTAATCAGTGATTTGGGTGTCATCTTCTAACAATCGTACAATTGTTTTTGTTGTTGCATATCTCTTGACCAAGAGGGGCATTATGCCCAAGAGAACAAGTATTGCTGTATTTCTATTATATTGTCTTTTACCTTTCTCTCTCTCTCTCAGGGACTTCTGATTGAGCACACCGGGAGGAGGCCGTTGTTATGGGGGGGTTATGGTGTCATGTCTGCCAGCTGGGTGTTGGTCACTGTCACGCTCAACCTGAAGGTAAACCTGTTTCCTTTGAATACTAACACATGTGTGAGGTGTAGACGGTATGTATTTTAAACGGTTGGTTAACCCAAATGAGAAACATATTGTAATACATGTTCGTACCCCAAATAGTGTCAAAACTCTACAGACAGGTTTAGTTTTTTACTGTGCAGAAAAGGGCCCACAGAGAGTGCCTATGTACAGGGTCCATAATTTTGTGCTACGCCTTTGGGGGTGACGGCCGAAACCTCAAAAAAACAGATATCTCAAAACCTCAGCAAGAAAACCCCAAACTATCTGCATTGCTTGGCATCACTATGGGAAAGAAAATATGGCTTTGTAGTTGAGTGAATGGATCATTTAATGCCACTGAAGTAAATATGAAAATATGCTGCTAACAAAACGGACACCGACCTGTTTACATACTGGCAAAAGGGTGTATGAGATTGCTGCACAAAGGCAGCATACAAATACTTGCTCTAAAAACTGTCTACAGAGCAGAGTGTATTAAAATTCATACATACAAAATTGTTTCCATGCAGGATTCCAGCTATTGGGTTCCGTACATCACCGCTAGTTTGATCATCCTCTTCATCATCTTCTTTTGCGGAGGACCTGGTATGTGCTCTACACAGCTCAGTGTTAGGGGCAAAAAAAAAGGAACTTCGGTACATTACACACTGTAGTTATGGTTCCTGTAGAAAAGATGTTCACATTCAAAGATAACTAACGTGAACAGCCTGTGTCATCTCTCTGGTTCACCCAGCGGGAGCTACAGCCACTCTCCACAGTGAGCTCTTCATCCAGTCCGATCGACTGGCAGCCTTTGTCCTCATGGGGATCCAGCGCTGGTTGGTGTTCGCTGTGCTGGGCCTAGTTTTTCCATTCCTTATTGTAAGTACAGCACACATGAAAAGAAGCAACACACCGTAGCTTACACTGTAAAAAGCAGCTGCAAACCTTGCTTATGAAAACAGATAGGATTTTCTTTAACAATATGGATCATTTGTTGTGATATACAGTATTTTAAACTTTAGTTGTACAGCAACATTTTTCATTGATTATATTTAGGATTAATGACAGAATGAATATTTTTTTAGCGTGCAATAGGTATTTATGTATTATTAGAAAAGTCATCTGTGTCATATTGTACTTAAAGACGAAAACCATCTCAGCACTTTGATGAAACATCAACACATGAAGCTCATTCTGCTGATGTTTTACACCACGATTTCTCTGTCCCCAGAACGCCCTGAACTCGTACTGCTTTGTGCTGTTCGCTTGTATGTGCCTGCTGGGTTGCCTTTATACTTTCTTCCTCTTGCCCGAGACCAAAGGGAAGACCATGCTGGAGATCTCTGAGGAGTTTAAAGCCATCACCGTCTGTGGGAAATCCTTCTTAGAGGAGAAGAGAGTGGAGACCAAGTTATGAGGCAGTCCAGATACAATAGCTACAGACGGTCTTTTCAGAATAGCAGAGGAATAATAAATGTGTGGCAATATTTATGCCTAGTAACGTGTTTTAATTAATTGTAAAATCATCGGTCAATAAACATTGTTTATTATGCAGGTGAAAAACAGCAGGCTACAGTGGAAGAACATGCCAACTTGAGTTAAATTACTGAGACAAACCTGTAAATAAAACAACCATAGTATTTTAGTCTTTGTCATTGTCCATGAACCAGTGTCACATCTAATCCAATGTATTGTTATTCTTTATTTCTGTTGTTCTCAGTTCATCCTTGTTCCACAGCAGAGTTGTTTTTCCCAGGAGATTTTAACAACATCCCGCACATGTAAACACCAACTTTAACACCTAGAACAACAAATAAGTCGAAACAGACATGCCTAAGAAGAGTTAATATAAAATAAATAAAGGATGTCTAAATGTATTTAAGCATACTCCAGATTTCAATTGCTAACTTAACCCTTGTGTCGTGTTCATATTTTTGTTATTCAGCCAGTGTTCATGGGTCTGGTGGACCTGCTGCATTTTGGGGTTTTTAATTCAACACAATAAAACAATTTTATGTTAAAATACTCAACAGATGTTTACTTCATCCCAATTACAAGCAATATAAACAGCATATATGGTTAATATTTTCTCTTTACCTTTGTTAGATCACATTTAAGAATTAAAGTGCTACTTGTTTTTTTGTTTATTTTTTACTAAAATGACATAAAAAAAGAAAATCAATTATAATCAAGGTATAAGTGGAAAAATTCAACAAATTTACAAATGAAGCAAGGTTTTTCATAACTATTGACTTTGGTCCTGTGGCTCGTCTTCGTTTTGGAACTAGGTGATGCTTAATCTCATCCTCTTCTTCAAAGTCACTGTCAGACTCTGAATTGTCAGAAATGTGATCTTCACATTCTGAAAACTCTTCTTGTACATCATCAAAATCTTCTGTCTCTTCCAAAATCAATTGCAAGGCCCTCTGAGCAGCGAATCTTTTGGCCATCTTGATCAGTTGTGATAAGAAACCACACTGGTAAAGCTATATTTATTGTGTCCCGCCCCCAATTTAGAGAAAATAAATTGGTTCCCACAAGACAGAGGTTGAAATGTGCGGGAATGTGAGAGCAGACGGTGTTGGTGCTTAAATTTTGCAACAATGTTGCAACCTTGTGCGGGAACTCTTGCACTCACACTCTCTCACACTTACATACAATCTCTCTCTCACATGCACACACACACGACACACACATAGATATGTGGTATATGGTGAAGGTGGCCGTGCTTGAATTTTGCAACAATGTTGTGACCTTGTGTGGGAACGGCAGGTGCAGAAACACAAAACTCACACTCACACACACACACACACACACACACACACACACACACACACTGACAGAAGGAGGACAGAGTAAAGGTACACAGGACCTACAGTTTCCACACTTTTATTAGCCTCGGGTCCAGTGGACCCGGACATCCTGTGTGTAATGTAAATGTGTAGGGGGGATGTACAGTGTGTTTTCATTGAAAATGTGTTCTGAAATATATACTTCACAGAAAATGAGCCAAGGCCAATGAGTCTGAGTTTGAAAAAATAAATAATCGTATAATTTTTCTTTTGATAAAAAATGAAAACGGGTCCAACAGACCCGAACACCGGGATTGACAAAATATTGAATTAAAAAAACAGGAAGCCTGTTTAAAGCACGGTCTGTAATATACTGCAGTGGTTCTCAAACTTTTTCTTGTCAAGGACCCATAAACTGTCACAAATTAGACCACGGACCCCCATCTGACCCCTTTTCTTTTATATGTTTTATTACAGAACGTTTATGCAACCGATGACCAAAATGGTCATACATTTTTTATGGTGTTACTTATGGATTGAATGTATACTGAAAATAAATTATTCCCCTTTTTGCTGGGGACCCCCATCAAGGACCTCTGGGGATTTTCGTCTACTCATAGGTCAGAAGTCATACTATCCACGAGATGTAAGAATGCAAGGCAAGAAAATCATTTATGTCAGAACAATGAGAAAATAAAGGCTTTCATTACAAGATGTTTTATCTCCTTTCATATTTCTAGCTCAGTATTCAGTATGACCATGTTTTTGTGAAACAGGCAACATTTCACTTCCTGGAGTAACAGGAAGCAAGATTAACTTTGGGCACCTCAAGCTGAGATACAGCTAAGTTTAAAGCTAAGTAATTGTACTCAATATTGTTGACATTTCTGTAATTCTTACCTTTACATACCCGATAATACCTCCTGCAGCTGCAATGTGTTTGTCAGTAAGAGGTCAGTAGTTCCCTTCTTTCAGCTCTCCTGCAATAAATCATCCACCGCTCCCTTTGGTCCCTTTGGGCCCAGCTGTCTGGTCTTAGACCACTGCTAGGAATGAAATCAATGGAAATTGTCCCACAACATTGTCTTTTCTCTTTCTTTGCCTCTCTTAGAGATTGAGCTCAGGGGGAGGTGTTAATCACCTTAAACTGGTTTACTTTTCCTCTTATACAATATCCTTACAGTGAGACTTTTTTTTAGCTGAATGCTAAACTACCACTAATGTTTGTGTGGAGAAGAGTCATAAAGTCAGCAAACTGTTTTAGCAATGTCTGTTATAGAGTGATATTTACATTAGCCACCATAAGCTGGTGGTCATACCAGACCAATTACGGCTGTAGCAGAAAAGCCCCTGAGTGAGTTAAGTTGAGCAATGCTACTTTTTGTTGGTCATGAATTTAACTTTTGTCAGAGGAAGAATGTGTTACTTGCTTTCTGTAAGAGTTATAGTTGTGCTTTAGACAGTCTCTCTATATATTGTAGTACTTCCTAACTGTTAAATAGACCAGTTTGATTTGAAGTATTTTGTCCTTTGTTTATTTTAAGACATCGGGTGTTCCATGTCTTGCTTGCTAATACAGCATGTGTTATGCTAATGCACCACACTGTGTCAGCATTTTCTACATTTTCTCCACTATCCTTGTGCCGTCCTCATTTGTGTGATTTCTGCAAACCACAGTAAGTCCTGGCCTGTGAGTCCACCTCACCCCCAGTCTTTGAGTAGCTCACTGGCTATAATGATTTATATTTAAGTCTTTGAAGGTTTCCCCCTCCTTATCACAAGCCAGCAGCTGCTAGCAGCCACAGGGTCTTCATTAGCTGCTAAGCACACTCTGTCCACAGTCCAGTACATTGGGGATGCAAGCTGTGATTGGCAGTGTCTTGGCTAGGCTGATCATCCTGTACCGATGTCCTGCTGTGCCTTATTATCACTGGAGGAGGATTAACTGGAGGATTAATTGGAGAAACCATCATGAACGGTTTACTCTTGCAGACCTGGCTAGCCCCTGTATCCACTTTGTTGGTACCAAAATGAAAAAAATAAAAAAATAGTTAACATGCTGAATAACTGGCTAATAACTGTCTGTCTGGGTTTCAGTGGCTTTAGTGTCCAGCTGTAATGGCTCTGTTACATCAAGAGATGGCGATGTTAATCCTCTGCTGAGATGTACTACCAACTGTAGCTCTTAGCAACCACTGCAAATTAATTCTAAAATGTTAGGGTTCACATGTGGTTATAGCTCATTTCTTTTTTATATAAATGTGGAAAATACACTGATATTTAAGTTCAAGTAAATGTTGTATTTACTGTGAGTCCTATCATTTATGTTTTTATATTTGGCATGTTTTAACTTCTATATTGTAACCCACTTTGGTTACAGAATAATAACTTTGCTGTCTTGCGATCAGCATTGTGTCAGAACATATCGAGAGATTGTGAAATGCATTTCATCTGAGTCAATCAATTATATGGGGAAATTGTGCTTTAGCCACACGATTCAGCAGAGTTCAAGAGGCAATTCATTAACTTTGAATAAATGTTTTATGTAATACTATATGGTTTATTCACCAGTGTTTTTTTCTACTTAAGCACCTCTACCTGAGAAAATGTTCTTTAGAAATTTACAAAAGGCACTCAATACCCGCTCTAAACATTTCTCTTTATATTATTTGAAATTTGGTACTTAATAAAAACACACAAGGCACCAACGTCCAAAGACTCTGCTCTGCATCACACTTTAAAAGCAGCATTTTCACAGTGCCTAATGGCCATTTTAGGCCTTTTAAAGTTTTCACTAAGACTCCAGCAGAAAGTAAAATCCTCCTCCAGCGGTGAACCCATGCATAGCAAAGAAAAGGTGAAATGAAGGCCATTATTCTTCTGTCTCTCCGCCTGGCAACACTGAGCTCACTAGCAGTGCTGCAAATCAGAGACGAGTGAACACACTTGGATGTGTTACAGATTAAATGAGTCACTGTTTCATTAGTTGTACATCGGTTTACTTAGATGATTTTTGGACATGCAATAACTGGGCTGATTTCTCCAGTGAATAGGCCTACACAATATAATTATTAAACGACACAATGTCAGCTAGTGCACAGGATGCACAACATCTCACCTGATTAAGTTGTCCATTGTGTCTGAAGATTATCTACTTTGTCTAACTGGGAGAGGATGAGCAGAAGATGTCAGGGGAATTAGCAGGTCACACTGATACTAGTCAGAGGCCATAGAGGACGATTAAAATTTTTGTCTGTGCCAATGAAACCTTCCTTAAAGGAATATGTAAATAGCATTTCATAGAGCTGTGCTTGATTTCACTGTGTGGCTTCAGTGGAATCATGGCAATTTTACTGTGTGGGGATCCCTATAAAAAACCATTAACAATAAACAATACACAGTTTACACACGAGGTCGCCTGACATTCAGCCTAAATGGCCGTTTTGTTACCGCTAATCACTTGACAAAATTTGAGATGAGCGCAACCATGCAGAGGTCAGCCACCAGCCATCATTTAAAAAGGGAGATATCTTGTGGCGAGCCTCTGTGGACAGGCTTCCCATCCATTGTCAGCCCTACTTGCAGAGTCCGGAGGGCAGAGTCAGGTCATCAGGTAGAATACGACTGACCGGGTCTGAATGCCTGTTACAGCCAGTGTTTAGGTGAAGCCAGCAATGATTCAGATTTCATGTCAGAA